AAGTTGCAGATCTCCCATATTCTCTTTCCCCACACATGCATATCCTCTCCCATTATCAACATCCCCCACCAGAGTGTACCTGTCTTACACTCAGTGAACCTACATTGACACATTATCACCCAGAGTCCATAGTTTACATTAGCGTTAATCTTGGTGTTGTACCTTCTATGTGTCTTTTGTTTTAAAAAAACACAATTGCTACCATAGATTTAGAACACCTTTTAATATTGATTCAAGGTCATTTGTGATTGTCACTTTCTAAGTCCCGATTAGCAATGAAAGAGCAAATTCCTTAAGAAATTGATAACTAATTCTCTTTAGCCTACAGTTCAGTGACTTGCAAATTAACTCTGAAGAATGTAGTCCACAGGAGACTGGAAGTATATTAAAGCCAACAAACCTGCCATTGTGTCAGCTAATGATAGTGTTACTGCTAAGCTTTCGTTGTTTGAATTTTAGCTAAAATCCTACGGATACGTAATTCTCAAATAAACCCAGAAGTTCTTTGTTTGATTTTGTCATTTGTATGTGGAGGAAGATGATTATAGCTCAGTTCTTACTAAGAACTCTCATGTCACTGCTCCCAAACAACTTACATTCTGAAACAGAACAGTCGAATGGCACATAAACAGGCAGGAACCACCTAAACATAGATGTCACTTTTCAAATAGGGATTCTAGTCTCACCTGTATTTCCAGGTTCCTGTTCTCTGATGGAGATTCTTATCGAACTCTCTAGAAGGTGGAGGGCTTTATAATTCAGTAATTAATGATTTGTGAAATTACACAGAATATGTGCATTTTTATAAAGTACTGAGTGTTTCATATATATTAACAAATTATCAAAAATATTGAAATCTGATGGAGTCTTATCGAACTCTCTAGAAGGTGGAGGGCTTTATAATTCAGTAATTAATGATTTGTGAAATTACACAGAATATGTGCATTTTTATAAAGTACTGAGTGTTTCATATATATTAACAAATTATCAAAAATATAGAGA